TAGATGCCTGGAAAAGGAGAGAAGACTAAATCAGCTCTAAAGGAAGTCGTGACAAGAGAATACACCATCCACTTACATAAATACATACATGGAATGTAAGAGAGAGTACACGTAACTATATATAAATATGGGAGGTTTGATACGATTAGTAATGATAATGGGTGTGGCTAATTTAAAAGCCACACCTACTAATTAAAATTATTAGTTTTTTATTATTTGTGCTTTTTATATTTTATTTAGTGGGTTTAAGAAGAGAGCTCCTCGGGCTATTAAGGCGATTAAGAAATTTGCACAGAAACAAATGAGGACCACTGACGTTAGGATTGACACTAAACTTAACAAGGAGGTGTGGTCAAAGGGAGTCAGGTGAGGAGTAATAATAATGCTTATTTTAAAAATGGGCATAACTTGAAAATTGAAGTCAGAATCAGCTCAAACTTTCTACATGGCATAAGGACATTAATATGTATCAGAAAATGTAATAAAAATTAGGGGTGATTTTGGGGCCATTTTTTTGGAAAAAAGCATGGGCTATAGTACAGGGAAATTTTCAGATTTTGGCTCATTCTTAAAAGTGGCCACAACTTGAAAAATTGAAGTCAGAATTAGTTCAAACTTTCTACATGGCATAAGGACATTAATATGTATCAAAAAATGTAATAAAGATTAGGGGTGATTTCGGAGCCATTTTGTGGAAAAAACCATGGGCTATAGTACAGGGAATTTTTCAGATTTTGGCTCATTTTTAAAAATGGCCATAACTCGAAAAATTGATGTCGGAATCAGCTCAAACTTTCTACACAGCATAAGGACATCAATATATATCAGAAAATGTAATAAAAATTGGAGGTGATTTTGGAGCCATTTTTTTTGGAAAAAACCATGGGCTATACATAGTACAGGGAATTTTTCAGATTTTGGCTCATTTTTCAAAATGGCCATAGCTCAAAAAATTGGTGTCGGAATCAGCTCAAACTTTCTACATGGCATAAAGACATCGATATGTATCAGAAAATGTAATAAAAATTAGGGGTGATTTCGGATCCATTTTTGGAAAAAACCATGGGCTATAGTACAGGTTACTTTTGAAAAGTTGTTCCTTTTAAAGTGCTCTTTTTTATATTGTTTTTATTTAGGAACGTTCCATTCAGAATCAGAGTGAGACT